TTCTTTCTTTCTTTCTTTCTTTCTTTCTTTCTTTCTTTCTTCTTTCGGTCTTTCTCTCTCTCTCTCTCTCTCTCTCTCTCCTTCCTTCCTTCCTTCCTTCCTTCCTTCCTTCCTTGAGATGGAGTTTTGCTCTGTCACCCAGGTTGGAGTACAATGGCATGGTCTCGGCTCATTGCAACCTCCACCTCCTGGGTTCAAGTGATTCTTATGCCTCAGCCTTCCTCCCGAGTAGCTGGGATTACAAGTGCCTGCCACTGTGCCCAGCTAATCTTTATATTTGTAGTAGAGATGAGGTTTCACAATCTTGGCCAGGCTGATCTTGAACTCCTGACCTCATGATCCACCCAAACTTGACCTCCCAAAATGTTGGGATTACAGACGTGAGCCACCGCACCCAGCCCGTTGTTTACTTTCTAATTGCTGTGTTTCAGCATCACATCGCAAATATCAGGTCATATAATAATGATTGCTATTAACTTCACTAAAATCATCTTTTCCAGTCAGATGTAGATATTTTGAACAGATATAGGATATTTTAAAGCCTTGCAAATAGCCCGAAGTGATTAATAATATGATTTGACAATGTCATAAAGAATATTGATTTAATTGCTTTTTATATCAACAGCGTGCTAGGAAGGAAAAACTATTCAAATAAGACAGTTAAGGTTTAGTGGCCTGATACTATCTTAATATAAATTAACAATAAACATTTAAAAACAACAGAGGAAATATAAAACTTTTTCTTAACTTGGGTAATTGAATCCTGATTCAAAATGGTAGTTAGCACTAGGATGTAATATACTACCCACTGCTCAGTCTATTATCATCGTTATCTTTAGAACCCTATAATTGGACAAACAGGAAACTATTCATAATAATAAGTTTGTTCAAAAATAATCTGTTGGCTGGAGTCTGGGGTGCACACTGCAGTCATTGAACTGAAGGCAGAACTGCTTACTTTATTCTTTTCACTGTTTGTTTATCTCTGTTACAACAACATACAGGCACACTAGACACCTGGGCGGTCCAAAGCATCCTGCCACAAGTACTAAAACTCAGTCATTTTTCCTACGTTCCATGAGTGGGCAACATAAATCTTATTTGCTGCAGACAGGGCCCTCATTGAACCTAAGCCTTGTCGCCTGTGCAGGCAAGTCGCTATGCTTAACATGTAACTTGGGCAAATAATTTTCCTTCTGGAATTTCCATGAGATCTAACCACTTAATTGCTTTATTTATTCTATCACTGGTTTTACTTTTCAGTGATTCTTCAGTAGCTACATTCCTTATATCACAGTTATCCAAAGATCAAATTTCACAGGACTCCTGCACACACAGGCTTCTTCTAAAAGATGTGAATTGAAAGGCAACACAAGCCATTAGTGGTCTGTTTTCAGTTTTCATTATCAATAAAATGAGAGATCAGCATTTTCATGCTGCGTGAAGGCTTCAGGGATGTGCAGTGTTGCTGTTATTGCAGACCAGGCTGCTGCCTGCCCCCACTAATGCACATGGAATGATGAGACCATCAAAATAAAAATAAAATAATGAAATGGTCAGAGTCATAGAGTGGACGGCTGACCTGGACTATCAGATGACCCCCTGAAAATGTCCCTTTGAATTTAGTGAAGCCTGGATGGCAAAGACCACAGATCATGACAGAACATAAATTCACCTCACAATGAGATTAGAAGACAGGCAAAATAAATGTCCTGCTGTTACATTAGAGGCAGACTCTAATCTGGCGTTTTCATTGGAAATGATCATTTCCCTTGCAACAGGGGAATCATGGATGCAACAAGCTTAAATCTGACAGATTCTGTTTTGCCACGTAGTTATTTTTCATCTTCCTCTGTCTTTTTAATAGCGGTTTTGGGGAGATCTATAAATGAGTTGTGGGTCTTAAAGACTATTACCAAAGTGAGTTATGGGAGTCTATGTTCACAATCATCAATCGCATTCCCCAGACTCCCCTTTGAAGAAAAGTTCTGTGCAACTCCTCCTCCCACTTCTCAACTGGAGCCTTGCTGTGGAGAAGGTGTTGTGACCCCCAGGGTCCTCTCACACTAGCCTTGAGGATCAAAGGCAGAATAGACTCACTATTGTATTTGGGGGTATTTAAAAAAAATCTCAACTGCAATTCTACTACTTAAAACCACTGGAAACAAATATCACATACTAAAGAGCCTGAAGAAAATGCCCAGATCAGGTGAACCCGTATGGTCTCTGAGTAGAACAAAGGTTTCAAGTATGGAGCTTGATTGCAAGGAACTTCCTTGGTCTGCAGCAGAAGGCAGTCTCACCTGGGAGTACAATACCCTCCTCTCATTCAAAATGCAAGATAGCATCTCCTGCTGGATCTTTTCTACAGAACCTGATGCAAGTTCATGGGGGTGTACCGTCCTTAGTAGTGAGTGGCATTTAATCAAAGCCTTCTGTGACATAATCTCAGCGTTTCAGGAGCCCTGTGAAGTCACCAAGCAAGTTAAGAGGTTCTTTCAAAAGGAATGAGAGATCAAACCCTGAATTGAGGAGCATTTGACGCTTCTGCACAGAAGGCACAGACTATTTAATTTCTCTGCATTTTTTGGGGGGCCCCTGCTAAAGACTCCTTATTTCTCTGTAAAACTGCAGATTAGGAGTAAATCAATTCAAGGTATTTTGACATGTTATTTTTCTTAGGCTGGAAAAAAACCACAGAAATCTTTTGCATGTGCATGTATTGTATTTTTTGCAGTTTGCATGGTGGTTTAGGGACAGCACTTCATCTAATGAAACTGTTCCCTTTTTGCAGCTGGTGCTTCCACTCAAACACTTGCACTGCAAATCTAGCTGGTTTAAGGGCTAAATTATCTTTTGGCCCCATATAACAAGGTTTTTTTTTTTCCTTTAACTTTCCAATTCTCAATAGCTTGTGTCGCTGTGTGTGTCTAATTTGCAAATGCCAAAGAAGGTGAAGTCAATTCTCCTCCCACTCTTAAGATTTTCTCGGTTCTCTGTTAACTCCTTCATCAGATGAACTAATTCAAGGGGAGAGAGAATACATTTTCTTATAGGTAGTGGTCCTATACTTATTGGCACTCTCCTCCAGCATATTTGTTTCATTTCCTTAACTCGGTCTTTCTCATCCCACCTTATCTGCTCCCCACGCCTTACTGAACCTCAGTGTTCAGTATTTACAATTTAAATTGAAAACAGTAAATGAGTCCACTTAGCCAAGTGCCTGGTACAGTTGGTGTGTGTTAATGATTATCTAATGGCCTTCCCATGTGTTAAACTCACAGAGTTAATGTTAAAGTTTCATGTTACATAATCTTGTTGAAGGAATTTCCCAAGTCATTTTTGCTTACCTCGTATAAATGAACTTGTTCTTGGGTTACAGCGAAGATCAATAACACGTTGTTTTGTACCAGTTTATCAATGAGTTGTCCAATTGTTGGATATTCCTAAAATTAACATATACAATTTTGTGTCATCTCAATAAAATAATGTAAAGAAAGGAATATTTATTTCAAGGATAGCTTTCTGAGGTTGGCATTTTAATGCTCACAGGCATTATAGTTCTATCACTCCAAGTAAACAAATACACAATTAGCATTATTCACTTGGTTTAATAATCCTTTTCTAAATTTTATAATCCAATAAATTCCTAAGAGTCAGTTCCTGTTGATGTGGTGTATCACGCTCTGCCACTTCTAAGCAGACCATTTGAAGTTCATTTAAAGACTAATAGTGTGTCATATTTTCAAGGGTAGAGAAACATTTCTTCTCCTTCTAAGTGACACTTACCAGCAGGCTAGGAATGTTACCACTGAGGCTGTTGTACTGTGATATACGTGACTGAGGTGACTCTTGCAGCTCTGAAACTCTTACTGGAATTGGATGAAGTGGAATGAGGGTTGCTGAGGTATGACATACTATGACATTCCTGTACTAATCCTTGTGTTTGGTTTTACTGCTTTTTTAATATCACAAGTTGGTTGTATGAAATCCTGCAGTATTTTTACAGGACAATTGAAAACTACATTGTACTTCTGTTCCCTTGGCATATTCATTCCCAAGTGATATGAATACTTTCTAAAAAACAAAAGAAGCTCAATTTTTAAATTTGAATACGAATTTTACTTTTCAGTTTTAGAAAACATGATGTGCATTTGCCCATTATACGAATCAAAATGTGAGTAATGTACAAGGAGGAAACTCAAGTGAGGTACTAGCTAGTACCTCATTTAATTCACAAAGTAAGAATATGTTAATTATGACAGAGGTCAGCCAAATGGGGGAACACTGATAAATAAGCCCTCCTGTACACTCAGATGGAATATTCACATATTCTCAGTACTACTGGAGTATTTTCATCTAAAGTCTTCTTTACGTACAAGGTTCAAGTTGAGAGAAAAGTGTAGTTTTGCCTAAAATTCTCCAATAAATTACCCAACTTCAAATGGCTATGTCATATGTACTTTCCATCACATTTGGATTTTTATTAACAGAGATACCAAATATTATCCATTACCTCTGCTTTTCAACTGTCCAAACATCCATTACCCTGAAGCCTAAATCCCTCCAGTGCCAGTCCCTTTTTACTTCCACATGTTCCCACACCCTTCAGCTGCTGTGCCTGTGTAGCCAGATCACACCACATCGCCCTTTGTAGGTGAGTGAAGCTGGTTTTCTATTTGAATCAGATCTGTTGGTTTAATTCCCACAACCATATTGTAAGTTCAAGGCCAGGAACCACCTTGTATTATTTTTTGGCCTGAGGAAGCTGGCTTCGGTTTTGAGTACACAAGAAGTGCTCAGAGGACCTGGGGGACTATGTTGCAGGCAGGCACAGATACAGTCTCTGCCTTCTGTGCATTTGTAGCAACTTATTCACAAAGAAGGATTTGAACATTTATTAGATGAGAAGGTCATATTAGACAATAGGTAGTGTTAGCTTCTATGATCTTCCCTCATTCAAAGTGGAGCTCTTTGTGGAGCTTTTGAAAAGTTACAAGGAAAGGGTAATGGAAAGGGGATCAATTTCCCAGTTTCTTGCCCCTCACTGACTAAAAGACAACATGTGGCTATCCTCACTGATACTGTAATATGAAAAGGCAGAGTATGTGACTAAAGAGTATACACATTTGGGGACTACTGCCGATCAAAGGTTAGGGGAAAACATCCATGTTGAAATGCAGAAATTTAGGTCAAGGAATAGTAGTGAGTAATGAACCATTAAGAGTTTTTAGAGAATAGTTTTCCCAATTGACATTAGAATTCTAGGTTCCTGTCTCCCCTCCCTCTCTCTTTCTCCCCACCTACACCTCTACAGCATTGTTGTAAGAAGTCACTTAAATTCTCTGTACCGTATTTCTCCAAGTGTTAAATGGGGACAATATGACAATCCAAGTTTGCTGCTTCAGAAGTCAAATCTATTTCATACATTAATTGGCACCCACTGTGTTCTAGACACTGTGCTATCAGAAAACAGAGATAATAAACCAGGCCTGGTCCTGAGGATTGTGCAAGAAAGACAGACAGATGTAAGAAAACATATTCCTACATTGAGATTCATAAGAATTCATCTGTGTATGTGACTAGAGGGAAAGATGATTGCTTCAGAACCTAGCAGAGGTCAAGGAAGGCTCTCTGGGGGCAGTAATGACTGAGGTGGTGTTTCAAGGATAATGAAGGGTTTCTCAGCAGCCTAGGAGGGAAGGATATTCCAGGCAAAGGGAATAACTGTGCAAAAGCATGACAGCCTCATGGTCTGTTCAGGAAAAGCAGTTGGATACATAGGGGTCTATTGAGGAGATCACGCATGTCCAAAGAGGCCTGAAATTTTGACCTGGTTTTACAAAAGTCAATTGTTTTCTTTGAATGTCACTAGCATTTTATAAATGACAAAAAATAAGCCAAAAGTTAATAAGCACCAACCAAGCCATACCTGACTAGTTGTTACCCATGGAACATGAAAGCATGCGTGATTCAGGGACCGTCATTCACAGCAAATCCTACATTGTTACTGTTTTGGTCTGGGTCCCTCCTCTCTCACGCTGTGGCTGAGAACAGAATGAGCTGCCTGTATTGCTTCACCAGTACCAGGTGTTTTGAGAAGTTAGGGAGGTTCTGGGATCATGCAATTCATAGCAGATCCATCTTGCCACATGGCCTACCACCCACCTATGATCCTGTGGGAGACTCTAATGATGGTGTGAGTTGAGCTGGGGCAGCCTGTTAATCTCAAATTAGAAAATGTGCACTGCTTTCACCAAACCTGAGTTATTTCATGTGTATTACACCAGTGGTTGCTTCATTCTCCCACTTACAGCCCTGAAAACAGTACAGAGTGCAGGTTACACACCAAGAGAGTTGACATGGAGTATTCATTCTTGCTGTCCAAGTGACAGAGCCCATCATTAGGAATGACGATGCCTGCCAGTTTGCTGTCCATTCCAAAATGAGAATCAGCATCACTCACAAAGACCAGAAGGTGGAGGGAGTCATTCCGCCAGCCAATTTTTTCCTACAGTGGGGAAGAAACATTTGTGGTTATTGGAGGGAGGCAGGCATTTATTGAGTGTGGATCAATTATGCTTGGACACATTTAGATTATAAAAAAATATTGCTAGTCTATTTTAGCTTTTTTATCTATTGTGCATCCATAATATTAATATATTAAATACATGAAATTCTGTGACATTTGCTTTTTCCTAGATAACATTTTTGTATGACTTATACTTCTGAAAAATAGCTCCACTACAGTCAGTATTCAGTTGATCCTGACTTTTACATATTTAAATTACTTTTACTATCCAGCTTTCAAAAAATTGAGCAGAGGAGGCCATAGATTATCCCAAATCCAAACTGAAGCAAAACTCATCAAAATGCAATATTAGAGGGGCTCAAAGTAAACCTGTTTCATTAAAATGTCACCCAACATTTAGGCACATATTTCTCTTTCTAATGAAATCATGCAAAAATAATAAACCTAATATGAGGATAAGAATTGCTTATGAAAGTATGGCCCCAACATCCTGCTAATTATAATTGTCTGTTGCTGGTGTTTAGCAAAGCCCTCCCCTTTAATTAATATCAGTCCAGGATCTAATTGGGTAAAAACGCATCCTGGCTGTTCCATCCCACCTTATCCCTTTCCTTCCTCCTCTAATTCCTTGGCCCTCCCACCTTCTAGGGTATTCAACCTTGTTTATTTCCTGATATTTTTCATGAAGGGCTGTTGCCTAAAGACAGGGGAATCATTCTTGTGGATACTTGTCAGATAGTCAAGGAGGAGCAGTGTTCCTGTGATGTTGTAGAGACAGCAAACTTCCGAAGCTTATTTTGTTGGTTCAAAACAATAGCTATGTAGTCATATGTATGGATATATACTGATTCAGAGCATGTTATATTTTTTAAATAAATGTTCTACCCTTGATTTTTTTCATCATGATTAATCCAAAAATGAATCTGATCTTAATCTTTGAAAATTAATCATACATGGCTATTGTTTCAACTAAATTTTCCCAAAACAACAATTTTCTTAGATTATTGAAATATTAGATATAAAGAACAGTCCCTATTTCAACATAATTTAATTAAATATTTGGCAAAAAATGTGCATTTTAAGAAAAATATAAAATATAGACATTTTGAGATTAAAGGAAAGGAAATTAGCTAATCCTTTTGAAGTAGAATTGTTAATAAGAGATTAACTTGATGTTAACAGAGTGAAACAGCACTCCCTTCAGCATACCTTACATACAGCAGCTTGCATAATTGCATCAAATCCACCTTCGGGCGTGTCGATATTAGCAGAAATTTTCTGATTCTTCACAATTTCATTGAATCTTTCAGCATCATTTGTCAATGGCAAAATGTGTTTGAATCCAAATGTAGGTAAACAGAAGTATGGAATACTACTGCAAAAGTAAGGTGTGAAAATATTATTGATGAGATATGTCACACACAATTAATGGATCTGACAGCTTAGCAACATTCCCTTAAATGAAGATTAGTTTTTCTAAAGGACCTGACTCTGTAAGTCAGCTGTGAATCTCACTGTTAAGGTTGTTGACATCATCGCCCACCCTTTCTGTGTTGACCATATTAGCTAACACTTATTTAGAACTTATTGTGTGTCTTGCACTGGCTCAAACTCAGAAAACAGATAATCAGGTGATCAGACTCCATTGGGTGTGTGTGTGTGTGTGTGTGTGTGTGTGTGTGTGTAAGTGTAATCACTACCTTCTATGGGCTCCCAACCAAAATTCACCACTAGGTTTGCACAATGGCAATTCTTTTGTATTCTGATATCTTAGCCTGTCATCAAATATGAATCACCCTGTAGCAAGACAAGAGAGGGGCATCTTGTGCTGTGCCATTGCCATCTCTGGTGTTAGTATATGGCATTACATCATTAAAAAAAATAAACTATACTAGTTGATTGGCAAAAAATGGCATATGTAAGTTTTAATTTTCATTTTATTATTATTAAGACTGAGTGCTTCTATTTGTTGACATCTTGTATTTCTCCTTTTGTTAATTGCCAGCTGATATCCTTTGCTAAATTTCTTATCCTAATTTAAAGAACCATCTTAAAGATATTAACCTTTTTTCTTTGTATTTTGTCTTTTAATTTCATGATGTTTTTGGATATATATCTTAAAACCTTCGATGCAGTCAAATTTCTTCCCACCTTCAAATATAAAATGCATTTTAAAGTGTGATATAAAGAAGGAGCCTGATTTTTTTCAAAATATTTAACTTGTTAAATGACAATAATGTAGCATTTGTCTTAATTGCCCTTATAGTGATTGAAGTAGCTGTGGGTGGTAGAAAACACACTGGATTTAGAATAAAAAGAGTGAACAGTTATCTTTTTTTTTGACTTGGAGTCTCACTCTGTTGCCCAGGCTGGAGTGCAGTGGCATGATCTCGGCTCACTGCAACCTCTGCCTCCAGGATCAAGCAATTCTCCTGCCTCAGCCTCCCAAGTAGCTGGGATTATGGGTACATGCCACCATGCCCAGCAAAGTTTGTACTTTTTGTAGAGATGGGGTTTTACCATGTTGGTCAGGCTGGTCTCGAACTCCTGACCTCAAGTGATGCACCCACCTTGGCCTCCCAAAGTGCTGCGAGTACAAGTGCGTGCCACTGCGCCCGGCCAGTTATCTATCTTTGGGCAAGTTGCTCAGTACCACTGGCCTCAGTGTCCTTCTCCATAAAATGGGAATGAGCATATCTATTTTACAAAGTTGCCATGACGATTATGTGAGATAAAAATTATATAATCATGTTAGGTACACCATTGTCCCTGGAACCTAAGTATCTTGGAAATTGTTTAATCTCTTATTTGGGGCTGTTGGTTTACACAATGACATTTGAGCATCTCTGGATCCACCGAAGTAGCAGTCCTATCTTTTTGTGAGAGATTCATGTCTCTGTTGGTTAGAATTATCTGTTCTGTAGATTTTACTAGAACCTATGCCTTTGGAAAGTGGAATGAAATTTTAATTTAATTCGCTAAAGGAATTCAAGTGATGGGAGAGCTAAAGCACAGAAGAATGTCAGAGATGGACCATGCCAGAGAATTTTGAGTGGAGATTGTCCCTGTTTTGATCAGAGTTCACTTTCTTTTCTCTCTCTCTCTCTCTCTCTCTCTCTCTGTCTCTTTTCTGGAGACAGGGTCTCCCTCTGTTGCCCAGGCTGGAATGCAGTTATGGTGACACAATCTCTGCTCACCGAAACCCCCGCCTCCCAAGCTCAAGCAATTCTCTCACCTCAGCCTCCAGAGTGGCTGGGACTACAGGTGTGCACCACCATACCAGCTACTTTTTTATTTTTTGTAGAGACAGGGTTTCACTATGTTGCCCAAGCTGGTCACAAACTCCTCAGCTCAAGCAGTCTGCCCACCTCGGCCTCCCAAAGTGCTAGGATTACAGGTGAGAGTTCATTTTCTAATAAAGACTCATATTTTGTTGTTACTTTCTTAGCCTAGCAATCAAAAGAAGTAAGCACCTCTCACCAAATTACTTGATTTTGAATCCTAGATAACAAGAGAATTAGCATTTAAAATGCAAAATAGTTATGAAACACAATATACAGAAATATTACTTCAAATTTTTGTTAAAATTTTAAATAAATATTTCCAGAATAAGAATATAATGACATATACCGAAGCATTAATGTCATCTTTTCCTGAGTGAAGTTAGAAATTATTTCCATTTCTTACTTTTGTCTCTATTTTCACATGGGCTTATCACCTTTGCAATAAGAAACTGTATACCATATGCTCACATATGTTTATGTGTATGAACGTACTGGAAATCCATTCTAGCATTTCTTTTTTTTTCTTTGAGGTGGAGTCTCATTCTATTGCCTAGGCTGGAGTGTGGTGGTGCGACCTTGGCTCACTGCAGCGTCTGTCTCTTGGGTTCAAGCGATTCTCCTGCCACAGCCTCCCAAGTAACTGGGTTAACAGGCATGTGCCACCACGTCTGGCTAATTTTTTTTCTGTATTTTTAGTAGAGATGGGGTTACACTGTGTTGGCCAGGCTGATCTCAAACTCTTGACCTCAGGTGATCTGCCCATCTCTGCTTGCCAAGTGCTGGGATTACAGGCATGAGCCACTGAGCCTGGCCCATTCCAGCATTTCATGCTTCAGCTTCCTCTTTTGCAAAACTACAATAACTCACTATTGGTGTAAATGCAAAACAAAACAAAACAAAAACACCACAGTATACATGAAATAATGTTTAAAAAAATCCTTCAGCCGGGCACAGTGGCTCATTCCTGTAATCCCAGCACTTTGGGAGGCCGAGGCAGGTGGATCACTTGAGGTCAGGAGTTTGAGACCAGCCTGACCAACATGGTAAAACCTTGTCTCTACTAAAAATACAACAACAACAAAAAAAATTAGCCAGGCATGGTAGCGCACACCTATAATCCCAGCTACTTGGGAGGTTGAGGCGGGAGAATGGCTTGAACCTGGGAGGCAGAGGTTGCAGTGAGCCAAGATCGTGCCACTGCACTCCAGCCTGGGCAACAAGAGTGAAACTCTGTCTCAAAAAAATAAATGAAAATCTAAAAAAATCTTTCAAAATGTTTAACAGAGTAAGAAACTTTAACTTTTGTGCAATTAAATACTTTTAAATGTACATTTTACTCATTTATATATATGAAAATAAAGAAAACATTTACTGTTGCTCTATCTTAGACAACAGCAGAGGAAATTATTTTCAAAAATATAAATTACTTCAGCATTCTCAACAGGGTGAAATAAATTTTTAGTGACTCTCCATCCAATGAAAATTAAAAAGCTACTCCAAAAACCATTAGAGATGAGATTAAAGAGGTGGTTTTTCTTTCTTTTTATAGAGACTTGGACTCTCTGTGTTGCTCAGGCTGGACTCAAATGCCAGGGTTTAAGCAATCCTCCAGCTCTGGGACTACAGGCATGTGCCACCACACCTGGCAAAAGGTTGGCTTTTATTTTTATTTTTATTTAACTTTTAATTTTAGGTTTAGAGGTACCTGTGCAGGTTTGTTGTATAGCTAAATTGCATGTCACAGGGGTTTGGTGTGGTTTTTAAACTATGGTGCACAGACCCGTGAGGGCCCCTGAGATTTTCCAGGAGGTCCTTCAGGTTAAACTTTTTTCACAGTAATTCAGAGATATAATCTGCCTTCTTCACTGTGTTGACATTTGCACTGATGATATCAAAGCAGTAGGGAGGAGGCTGGCAAGATGGCCAAAAAGGAACAGCTCTGGTCTGCATCTCACAGTGAGATCAACACAGAAGGTGGATGATTTCTGCATTTCCAACTGAAGTATCCGGTGCATCTCACTGTGACTGGTTAAACAGTATGTGCAGCCCATGGAGAGGAACTGAAGCAGGGTGGGGTGTTGCCTCACCTGGGAAGTTCAAGGGGTCAGGGAACTCTCTTCTCTAGTCAAGGGAAGCTGTGAGAGACTCTGCCATGAGGAATGGTGCATTCCAGCCCAGATACTACGTTTTCCCAGCCTGCAGACCAGGAGATTCCCTCGGGTGCCTACATTACCAGGGCCCTGGATTTCAAGCACAAAACTAGGTGGCATTTGGGCAGACACTGAGCTAGCTTTTTTTTTTCATGCTCCAGTGGTGCCTGGAACACCAGTGAGACAGAATGCTTCACTCCCCTGGAAAAGGGCTGAAGCCAGGGAGCCATGTGGTCTAGTTCAATGGATCCCATCCCTTTGCAGCCCACCAGGCTAAGATCCACTGGCTTGAAATTCTTGCTTCCTGCACAGCAGTCTGAAGTTGACCTGGGATGCTTGAACGATGTGGGGAGTGGCATCCACAATTACTGAAGCTTGAGTAGGCGGTTTTCCCCTCGGAGTATAAACAAAGCCACTGGGCAGTTCGAACTGGTAGAGCCCACCACAGCTTGTCAAAGCCTCTGCAGTCAGACTGCCTCTCTAGATTTCTCCTCTCTGGGCAAGCCATCTCTGAAAGAAAGGCAGTAGCCCCAGTCAGGGGCTTATAGATAAAACTCCCATCTCCCTGGGACAGAGCACCTCAAGGAAGGGGCAGCTGTGGGTGCAGCTTCAGCAGACTTAAACATTCCAGCCTGCTGGCACTGAAGAGAGCAATGGATCTCCCAGCACAGCACTAGAGCTCTGCTAAGGGACAGACTACTTCCTCAAGTGGGTCCCTGACCCCCGTGCCTCCTGACTGGGAGACATCGCCCAGCAGAGGTCAACAGACATCTCATACAGGAGAGCTCCAGCTGCCATCTGGCAGGTGCCCCTCTGGGACAAAGCTTCCAGAGAAAGGAACAGGCAGCAATCTTTGCTGTTCTGCAGCCTCCACTCATGATACCCAGGCAAATAGGGTTTGAAGTGGACCTCCAGCAAACTTTGGCAGACCTGCAGCAGAG